ATGTTATCACACAAAGGTTGGAGTTGGACAGCCCTGCAGTTCAGTAAGATCATGGCTGAACTCGGGCTTCAAATCCACTTTACTACCATTCTCCATAAACCATGGTTCCCTGAGATATCGAATGTCTCTCTATCACAGTCTTAAATATGTCAGTGGAGGGGTAGTAGAGAATTCCAAAGGTTCACAACCCCTAGGGTGGAATAATTCCACCTCAACATAGGCTGATTTTATCAGCCTCTTATTCTGAAATTGTCCCCAATCTTTCCCCACCATCACGCTCCCCCTCCCATCTCTTGCCCTGTCCCTATTCTTGCTTCATGGTGAGGTGTGACCTGCAAGAATACAATCATACAGCACAAGAATTAGATGTAGGCATTTCAGACTCTCGTCCTGGCCCACTATTAGATACGAATGTGGCTGAGCTAACTGTGGCCTCAATTCCATTTGACTATTGACTCCCTTGTTAATCAAAAACATAACTGAACAAAGAATACATTCAATGACCCAGTTTTCACTGCTCTTTGTAGAAAATTTTGAATGCTTCTCATTGAAATAGTTCTAACCAAAGTTTAAGGCCACAAGGCTTAGCATCTAGGCTGTCAAGTCCCTTCAAGATCTTATATGTTTCAATAAGATCACCTCAAATTGTTCTAAATTCTTTTATGGCAAGAGTTGAAGGATTGACTACACTGTCACTGTGGTCCCATTACTCCACAGCCACAAGTTAAAGTTCGGCACAACATCGTGGGCCGAAGGGCTGTGCTGTACTGTTCTATGTTCTATGTTGTACAACACAAAATAAAAATACATCTCCCAATTACCAAAATAGCTAAAACTAGAAGGGCCGCCCAACAAGCTCATTAGCAACAACCTAAAACATTAGCTAGGCTGGGCTTGTTTCCAATAAGTTTAGGAGAGTGAGGAGTGACTGGGTTGAAGTGTCTAACATCCTGATTTTTTTTTAATAAGGTAGACGCGGAAAGAATGTTTTCTCTTGTAGGTCAATTCGGAATTAGGGAGCATTGTTTTAAATTAGACATCGCCATTTTAGGACAGAGATGAGGAGAATTTCTTTTCTCTCAGAGGGTTGTGCAACTCATTGCCAAGGAAATGGTAGAGGCAGGGTCATTAAATGGTTTTAAGTTGGATGGAGAGGATTGATAGCTTTGTCTAACAAGAAACTAAGCTTATCACAGATAGATAGAAATGTGAAATTCAAGCCACAAATCGATCATTCATGATCTTACAGAACAGCTGAGCAGGCTTGAGGGCCAAATGATCAAATTGTGCTCTATTTTGTACGTTGGTATGTATCATACTCACAGGATCATGCAATGTTTCAGGCACCCCACCATCGCTGAATATGCCCCACCCTATAAGCAGACCTAACGAGTGAAATACAGCCAAACAAGGACGAGGACACCTCCAACTGATGACCACCTACTGATAACTCTTGGCTGATGAATCTGCACTCCTCAATGTTGAAGACTACTGAGAGTGGTTTAGGCCCAGAATGTATTCATGGGGTGCTTCACTGTGTTCCCTACACTACATAAATGTCCATCACTCCCGGCCTTTACATCATTACTATCATTAATTCCCCACCCTCACCCCCTAATGGAGCAATACTCACTTCAATGAGGTTTACTTTCTAAATAATTGCATAAACTGGGCCTCTATTCTCTGTAGTTTAAAAGAATGAGAGGTGATCTAACTGAAACTTAAAAATCATTAAAGCGTTGGATGGGATGGATGCAGAAAGGGTGTCTCCCTCAGCTGGAAGAGTCTGAACCAGGAGAAACCAAGGTCTCAGAATAAGGGGCAAGTCACTTACCACTGACATCAGAAAGAATTTCTTCACTCAGAGGGTAATGAATCTTTGGAATTCTTTACAACAGAGGGCTGAGAAATGTAGTTATTTAAGAATGCACAAGACAGAAATTCCTGATAGAATTTTGGGTGCTAATGATATCAAGCAATGTGAAAGTAACATGGGACAATCATGTTACAGAGACGTAGGTTCTTTACACAGAGGGTGGTGGATGAGTGTATTGCTCTGCCGGCTGTGATAGTGGAGTCAGATACATTAGGGACATTTAATCGACTCTTGGATAGGCACATGAAGGATAGTAAAAATGAAGGGTATGTAGGGTAGTTTGATCTTAGAGTAGAATAATGGGTCGGCACAACATTGTGGGCTGAAAGGCCTGCACTGTGTTGTACTGTTCTATGTTCTATGTTGAGGTTGAAGAGCAGCTATGATCCAGAACAGTGGAGCAAGCTAAAAGTGTTAAATGACCTACGGTTGGTTGGATAGACCTGCCAGCAAACTGCTTCCTCCTCCACAAAGCCACATCCCAATATTTCCCTTTCTGGAATGAGTTTCCAGCTGCAGAAGTAGAATTTCCAGTCATAGAGTCTGCTGGCCTCTGTCACTTGGTCTCCTACAGAGATCGCTACCCCTTCCTGTCAGCGGCCACACTTATGCCTTGCAGCCGCAGATACAAACAGATTTCTTGATTCTTATCCAATTAAGTTCCCCCATCCACCATTATTCTCTTCTGCCCTGAAACTGTAAGTATCTTCATATTGAAGCTAAACCAAATTGCTTACAGTGTTGACACCCACTAGACCCTGAACTGAGCCTGCAAGGCAATATTTCCATCTAGAGTAACCCATGTCCACTCTTGCTTTGACACATCTGTAGATGAAAAACTCAGGCTATGTCATTGTCACTTCAAGTCTGAGATTATCCATTCCTTCCATGTTATAGAAAGCATTGCTGTTTCCATCTGAAATTCTGCTTCTTCTTTGCAGAAATTCACCAAGGCTCTTTAGACAGCACCTTCCTAATCCATGACTGATACCATTTAGAAAGACAAAGGCAGCAGATACAAGGGAAAACTACTATATGCAAGTTCCTCTCCAAATCACTCACTATGCAGACATGGAAATTTCTATTTCTTCAGTATCACTCGGTCAAAATCCTGGAACTCATCCCAAAAACATTGTGGTCTACCTCCAGACTGCAGAGGTTCAAGAAGGCAGCTCACCAGCACCTTCTCAAGGGCAACTAGTAATAGGCAATAAATGCTGGCCCTGCTAGCAATGCCCACATCCCATGAGTGGATAAAAAAAAGAAAAAACAGTTCTATACAGCTTGACTTGTTCATTGCCTGCTTCTTGCTCACACAACAGTTTTTGAGATCCTAAGGTCCCAAACTCAAAATTCTCATTCTTTATGTTAAAATTCCTCTGTGGCTATGTTTGTCCCTATCATTGTAACTCACTCCTGTCTATCACCATTACGTTCTCCAGTACCGCAACTGCTCCTCCTTACAACACCCTCAGCTTCCCCAGCACCAAGTTCTTTATTCCTTTTTCTTTCACCACTGCCTCGCTATCACATCTAATGTCCACGTTATTGGTTGCCTTAACACCACTTCCATGATTCTCCCTTTCACCATCTGTCTCTCCTTCATTAAGATCATTCACAAAACGTATCACTTTGACCCAGTTACCACTACTAATATCTCTTTCTTTGGTTCCACAACCTTATATTTTAATTGTGCTTCTTTGAAACCTCATTTTTACATCCATATAAATGAAATGTCTTGCTGTTGTAAGAAGTCCCTATGTTCATTAACTGTCTTAAGAAATTTTCATGATACACTCGTTATGCAATAAAGAAACATCTTAATGAAAGATAAATAAAGCTGAGCAGGACCTGGCAGCATGGAGGGGAGAGAGAGAGCGGGACCTGGCAGCGCAGATGGGAGACAGCGGGACCCGGCAGCGAGGAGTGGGGAGAGCGGGACCCAGCAGCGAGGAGGAGAGAGAGCGGGACCCGGCAGCGAGGAGGAGAGAGAGCGGGACCCGGCAGCGAGGAGGG